GTGTTTGATAGAACTGTTGGCGACGTGGCTCTTTTGGCGAAGAAGACGTCAGGATTCGTTTGGGAGGGTACAAAGGCATTCGATACATTATGAGTACGTACGGAAGCCACGCGTTGGTTGATCCGGCTTTTTAACTCCTTATTGACTGGACAACCTCTGTAGTTGATTTCCACCGCAGTTACCACAATTTTTCNGAAGCCACGCGTTGGTTGATCCGGCTTTTTAACTCCTTATTGACTGGACAGCCTCTGTAGTTGATTTCCACCGCAGTTACCACAATTTTTTGCACGCGGGTCTTCTTTGTTTGATGTGCAAGTGGCAGAGACATGTAGCTCTCCACAAGCTACGCACACTGAGCGAAGCGTGCAGTAAGACCTAGTATGACCATACTCCTGGCAGTTGGTGCATTGTACAGGGCCATTTCTCTTATGCGGTTCTTCCACAGTTATCCTACGATGCAGCAGATATTGTAATTTATAAATTGGATGCACATCGTTTTTGCCCAGAGGTTTGTTTTCAGGCTCGAGCTCAACTTTAAACATAGGTTGAGGGATTTTGTTCCTATTAAAAATATTCACAGCAGCTTTTGGATTGAAACCTTGTTCTTTAAGTGCTTCCAAAACTTTCACATAAATTTGCACTTTAGTTTCGCGAAAATTTCCCTTAGATAGTGGTATAATATGAAACTTATTACTACCGATTAGCTGGGTGATTTTTTTAACAAGAGANACATCGTTTTTGCCCAGTGGTTTGTTTTCAGGCTCGAGCTCAACTTTAAATAAAAGTTGAGGGATTGTGTTCCTATTAAAAATATTCACAGCAGGTTTTGGATTGAAACCTTGTTCTTTAAGTGCTTCCAAAACTTTCACATAAATTTGCACTTTAGTTTCGCGAATATTTCCCTTAGATAGTGGTATAATATGAAACTTATTACTACCGATTAGCTGGGTGATTTTTTTAACAAGAGAGCTTGAATTCTCTTCTCTTATAAAAATCGGCGGAGGTTTGGCATTAGTAGCTTTTGCAGCACCTTCAGAAATTTGGCTATTCACATCATCGGCATTGTCACTTAGCAGTGCAAATCTATTCGTGCTGACTTGCTGAGTTGAGTTTAGGCGGTTTATTTTTAACGAAAATATGCTGGTGCTCTGCTTCTGAGGTTGTTTTGCTTCAAAAGCAATATTTTTGCTTTTGCCTTGGCTTCAAAAAAAAACGAACAGCTACAGCAGCAGCACAAGAAGAGCTGAGAAGCAAACTATCGTTCGCTTTCCGGCTCCAACTCGATGCTTCTCAGCAAATGAATTTTGCTGATGCTTGCATACTGAAAAGCTCGGAAGCAGAAGTAAAAGCAATTGATTGGATTTGGCAGTTACCCTACAAAAATTGGGTTTATAGTGCGCGTTTCCACTCCGCAGTGCCTGGGTTCAAGTCCTGGTCAAAGAAACATCACAAAAAAATATAGAAAAAAGGTTTTTTTTTCTTAACAGCGGTCGCCCCTTGGCAGGCAATGACAAACCTCCGAGTTTATTTCTGTCATGAAAAACACCTTCTCATCTTTGTGTGACAATATCAAGGGGCACTCCACAAATCGGAGGAGAAGCTCGGCCAAACACTAATATATGTGTATTATTAAGGTTGGAGTGATTACAATTAGGATGTAGCACAATGGATCTTCTTAGGTCGCAGCAGTCTGTGCAGTAAAATTAATTGTTATACGCAGTTAATTTGTTTATATTGTACTAGCAGTGTTTTAGTTTTACTAAATGTTAAGTTAATAAATATGACATTGAAAAAAAAATATTAGAAACTCGAAAAAAAATTTGTTAGGTTTTGTTTAAGTTTGGCAGGAAGTTTTGGTAAGTAAAAAAATTCCTCTGTGGCAACATTGGTTGCTTCTGTTGTCATCAGTGTTGCCACTATTGTCTTTTCCAACCAAATTTGGTCGCTTCTTTTTCATTTGGTAGGTTGGTCGGCAAAGTAAGATTTTGGTCGGATAGTTAGTTGAATTAAGTTTTTAAATTCTTATATATAAAAATATATTTTTCAAACATCGTTTTGCATATAAATATATAATGGTTTGGCTACTGATGGAGCCAATGTTATGGCTGGAGACTTGGGCGCAGAAACCGATTTATTTTATATAAAGTGCACATGCCACTCACTTCACCATTGCTCAAGCTACGCTTGTGAAAAATTGCCGAAAGGCATTTGTTTTGATAACTTTTGATTTTGAAATTTTAGCAGAAGTCATTATAAACAATTAATGACATTGAAAATGAAAAGCGTGGGGCGCATGTAATACACTTGAATTGATATGAAAAGTAACATATGTATGTATGTGGGCATATGAATAACGACCGCTTAAAATCGATCTCAAATTTGTACTTTCGCTGTAGAATGTTATGTAGTTNTGCTAAAATTTCAAAATCAAAAGTTATCAAAACAAATTCTGTGGGACTGAGAAATATTATTTTCTACTTTTTAGTCTATTTATAAAAGCGTTGTTTACTAAAAAGTTTTTTTTTTATTTTATTTTTATTTCTATCGTATATTTTGCT